GTAAGAGAGCGAGGCCTTTCTGAAGGGAAACTTGTCAATATCTATCAATCCCTTCCACCGAGGGGACTTTTTCTGACAGCTACAGTCACAGATATACACCCTGACACATGTACAAAAACATGGTTCGTGATGGCCAAGGATGGATGTATGGATTTTTGATCCTCTCTCTCTCACACACACACACACAAACACACACACACACACACACACACACACACACACACACACACACCTTCCAAGGTGACCCTAAGATGCTGAGTGGCCGGCTCTGGTCTTAGTGAAGATGACGCCGTGTCAACTTCATTTGTGACATGAATGGAAAGAGCCCCCAAAGCCCCAGAGCTCTTTCTCTGACATTTGTAGAGAATTTTATGCAGACCTTTCTCCTGACCCCATATCCTTTTGATCAGCAGACAGCCCATGAGTTTGATAATCTGACAAGTTTAGGACATGTCTGACCCTCTCACTGACCGATCCCACACTGTGAGGACAGCTCTGCCACTACGGAAGTGAAGAGCAGCGTAGCCAGTCGATATTCTGCAGGTGACTTTTTTATTGAAGTATAGTTGATGTACAATATAATATAAGTTACAAATGTACAATGTAGTGATTCACAAGTTTTAAAGGTTCTACTCCATTTACAGTTATTATAAAATAGTGGCTGTATTCCCTGCACTGCACTATATATCTTTGTAGCTTATTTATTTTACACATAGTAGTTTGGACTTCTTAATCCCCTGCCCCTTTCTTGCCCCTCCCGGCTTCCCCATTCCCCACTGGTAACAGCTACTTTGTTCTCTGTATCTGTGAGTCTCACTGGTGACTTTCACCTTGAATTCAGTGCATCGAGTGTTAGGTGATCAGAGACCCTTGTCAATCCAAGCTCCCTGCTCGTTCTTTATAACCGGTCATCCCTCCTCTTCACTTGCCTTCCAGATTCATGCACCTGCGCACACTAACTCATCGATGCCAACGTGGTGCTTTACTTACTGAACTGTTACATGTCTGGCTGGTACAGCCAGCATCCTTACAGTTTGTTTTCGTTATGTGGCTATTAAATACACGTTATTACAGCTTGCATTAGGCAGCTGAGGTCGACTGGGTCATTTCATCACTGAAATCAACCAACACGCGCTGTTGAGTTTTACTTGTAGAGGGCAACTAGCTATGCTCCCTCTTATAACTATTAAAATAAAGGTCGTGGTGCCTTATAGACTTCTTAACAATTACCAATAAAGAGAGAGGGAGGGAGGGAGGAAAGAAGGAAGGAGAGAAGGAAAGAAAGGAAGGAAGGAAGGAAGAGGGAGGGAAGGAGGAAGGTCGTTCACATATACGGAGAATATTTTTTGATTCAAGGCCTCTATTCGGTGCATCCCCATGACTCTCAACAATCCTGAAAGCGCCATCATGCCCTTTTTACGCTTTTCCCCCAGACACATGGGAACCCAGGGTTTGCCCTTGGCCTGGGTTTTAGGAAGTGTTGTGGGTTCATTTGCCCCAGGTGGCCCAGATTTGCAGCCCATAAGGAAAGGGGAAGAGTCCTGAGGGTCAAATTCAAAAGATCTGGGAAGAGCGTTACATCAAAGAATTGGCAACAGATAACTTGCAGACACCAAGAATTCAGGTCAAGGGCCCCTGGAAGGAATCTCAGAGGCAACAAACAGCGTGGACGGCAGGGGGCGCAGAGTGGAAAGGGCCTTTTAAGAAGAGCTTGGTTCTGAGTCTGGCGAGGTAGAAAACACGGAGGGGCCACTAGTGGTCGCTGGATGAGAAAACAGAGACTCAATGGCCTCAGATGACAGCCCCAGACCCTGGAGCTGGTAAGGGCAGAGGTGAGATTTAAGACCTGCTCTGTCTGACCCCAAATCCATTACATCAGCCACAGGTGGTATGACTGCCCTTCCCATTGACCTGCTGAAGTCGGGCTGGGAAAATCCAGGAATTGGAAAAAGGCAGTTGGGCACCAAACAAGTGAAGTCAAGGTTGAGGAGGAAGTTTTTCTTTCAGCACATTGACATCCAAGGGGTGGGAATTGCAACGGAGGAATTGAAAAGCTGAGCAGAGTTTTCCTGTCCTTTCCCCTGTTTTAGGCCCTTCCCCTTCTCAGCTGCATGGACCCGGAAAATACAGAATTCCTTCTGCATTGACAGACCAGCTGGAGCAACTGAAATGGGCTTGGGATCCAGGATGTGTGATTACAGACATGGCCACAAGGTGGAGACACATGGTTGTCAATCCCTATGTCTTGTTCCAAGGCTGAGCCTTATTGAGGGTTTACCCAACAGTGCATTAGCTGGGTAGTAAGGTTTAAAAACAAACATAGTTTTGTAGTCATTTTCTTAACCCTGAGTAAGGCAGCCCGGGGTCATTTTTCTAAAGGACTCGGGATAATTTAGAAATACCTTCCAATTCCTTAGACCAGTTGTGAATACATGATTAACCTAACATTATTTAATACTGCAAATATTTATCATGCTGGCACCCTGTGCAAACACAGTGCTGTATTTTGAGAGGGACTATGGACTGTAAAACAAAGGCAAGACACAACTGGGGGAGGGGCTTCCCTGGTGGTGCTGGTGGTCGCACTCCCAATGCAGGGGGCCTGCGTTCCATCCCTGGTTGGGAAACTAGATCCCACATGCCGCAATGAAGAGCCTGTGTGCTGCAACTAAGACCCGGCACAGCCGGAAAAAAAAAAAAAAAAAAGACACAACTCAGGGAGGACTTTATCAGACGCCACTGGAAGACACACCAGGAGGGCATCTAAGTGTAGCAGGCTTAGTCCGATAGAGATAGTATAAGCAATCTATTCATAGATGACTCAGAAAAAAATTATGTTTAGATATAAACAGAATAACAGAACAAATGTGGCAAAATGTGTTTTTTAAAAAAGGTGAATCTGGATAAAGGATATATGGGAGTGCTTTCTACTGTTTTCAGAATTTTTCTGTAAATTTGAAATTGTTTTAAAATAATAAAAGGTTCTGGGTTTTTTCTTTTGTTTTTTGTGTGTTTTTTTGCCATACGCGGGCCTCTCACTGTTGTGGCCTCTCCCGTTGCGGAGCACAGGCTCTGGACGCGCAGGTTCAGCGGCCACCCATCTGAGTGGCTTTGGTTGTTTCAGGTAACCTCTCTGGCCTGTGTCTCTTCTTCTGTAAAACAAAGAATCCAATTTTTTTCACTGCTGTAGAGTGTTCCACTGTATGAATAAACCTCAGCTCACCCATTCCCCTAGAAAGAAAGAAAGAATGAAAGAAAGGAAAAGAAAGAAAGAAGGAAAGAAAGAAAAAGAAAGAAAGAAGGAAAGAAAGAAAAAGAAAGAAAGAAAGAAAGAAAAAGAAAGAAAGAAGGAGAGAAGGAAGGAAGAAAAAAGAAAGAAAGAAAGAAAGAAGGAAAGAAAGAAAAAGAAAGAAAGAAGGAAAGAAGGAAGGCAGAAAAAAAGAAAGAGAAAGAAAGAAGGAAAGAAAGAAAAAGAAAGAAGGAAAGAAGGAAGGAAGAAAAAAGAAGAAAGAAAGAAAGAACAAAGGAAGAAAAAGAAAGAAAGAAGGAAAGAAGGAAGGAAGAAAAAAAGAAAGAAAGAAAGAAAGAAGGAAAGAAAGAAAAAGAAAGAAAGAAGGAAAGAAGGAAGGAAGGAAAAAAGAAAGAAAGAAAGAAGGAAAGAAAGAAAAAGAAAGAAAGAAGGAAAGAAGGAAGGAAGAAAAAAGAAGAAAGAAAGAAAGAACAAAGGAAGAAAAAGAAAGAAAGAAGGAAAGAAGGAAGGAAGAAAAAAAGAAAGAAAGAAAGAAAGAAGGAAAGAAAGAAAAAGAAAGAAAGAAGGAAAGAAGGAAGGAAGAAAAAAAGAAAGAAAAAAAAAAGAAAGAAAAAAAGAAAGAAGGAAGGAAGGAAGAAAAGAAAGAAAGATGGAGGGAGGGAGGAAGGAAGGAAGCAAGTGAAATTGATTTTAGTAGTATATTTTATTTACAATATATCCAAAATATTATCATTTCAATATGTAATCATTGTGTTCAATTATTGATGAGATATTCTAAATCCTCTTATTTTCATTGTCTTCTTGGACTCAGCCCATCTTATTTGAGAGCTAGCACAGTTCAAGAGCTACTACCCACCTGTGTCCCATGGCTGCCTCAGTGTGAACAGCAGAAGCGCTGGTTCTCTGGGCAGCTCCAAGCTGGGGTCCAGCCCCAGCCCCCATCCAGGCTACTCTTTTCTGGTCTGAGGCTGGAAAGCTTTCTCTCGCTCCTCACTTGTCCCTCAAATCTATGGTCAGTGCACATTTCTTCCTCTTCCAACAAAGCCTTTACAGTTTTGGAACTACAAAGACAAGCGACCTTTATCCTCTGCTTTCTGCGGTGCACGGGCTTCCCTGAACGGTGAGGGCAGTAAACCCAGTGGACTGAATGGATTAGAAGGAACTACAAAACTGAATCAAAACTATTTTCGTACAGCAAAGTATTTTTTTCCTTTAATTTTGTTTTCTGTGTTGTGGGGTGCAGGGGATGGGGAGAGCAGTGGGCAGCTCCCTAGTAGAAAAAGGATTTCCCCCAAAACTCTTCCAATTCCGCCAGGAGGCGAAAATTCAGGGTCAACAGATTCCTCTTTTCAGGTCAAGGCTCCAATCTTTCAGCCTCTTCAGCTGCTTGCTTGAATGTAAGAAGGATGAGCAGAGGCCAGTTTAGGGAATGATGGTTTGGCTTGGAGGACCAGGGAGGGAAAGGTGCCGGGGGACAGGCTGTAAACTCCCTGTGGGCAGGGGTAGTATTTTATATCAGCTGCATTTATTATTACTGTGTTATGTGATTTAAGTACCCTGCTATATCATTTTATCCTCATCGCAAACATACAAAGATTTATAGTGTTATTTCCCCCATTTTACAGATAAGAAAACTGAAGGTCAGACACATGTATGTCATATATCATGTATCAAACCATATATACTATATATCTATATATATCATATACATCATAGATAAATAGATGATAGATATATAGATAGGTAGGTAGCTAGAGATATATGCTGTATAGATATATGCTATATGATTAAAAGGGAATAAACATAAGAAATATTAACATTATCTCTGGATGACTAGGGACAAGAATAAGGGCACTGATTTTCACTGTACATTCTCCTATAAATTTTGAGTTTTCAATTGGGTAATACGATGCCTAATTTTTAATAAATACAACTTAAAATATGAAATCCAGTCGAAGGTAAGTTGAGGCATCTCCCGACAAATCACCCTAGAGCAGGTATTTGTTCAGGGAAGAGTCACCAGGTTGCTGCTCTTCCTGACGCAGTTACGATACACTTCCCCCGGGAGCCCTGGAGGAAAGCTATAAGAGAACTTGAAAAAATATCTGGCTTGCAAAGATTGCCTTTCCCAATGTCCTTCGGTGTGCAGAGCTTCCTGAAAGGAAGTTGGGCAAATCTGTGTAGATTAAGGCAACCAGACTTCTGCGAAAAGAAGATGGAGAGCCAGCCCCACTTTCTCTGGTAGACCTCCTCTGGAGAACTGGGATGGTCTCAACTGAGACCCACTGTCAGGAAGTGATATTAAGGACTCCCAAGGGGTAGCAACCATGCTGGGCAGTCTACACTGGGAAACATCCCTACACCACACCTTAGAGATTCATGGGACAGGGGTTGGGGACAGTATGCAGCTATAACAGAAATACCATCTTGACCTGGCCCCCACTGCCATGCCAACCAGTTTCATGGTTGTGGTTGTTACAGCAGCTAGCATCAATTCCCCTGACTGATACCCTAGATATTCGCATTTTACAGAGGATTTCTTTCTAATTGGTGAAAATTCAGACTAAATAAATATCTTAAAATTCACTCCATTTGAGAGGACAGAGTCCTGCAAAGAACCTCTTAGGTCTTAGAGTCTATCTTCTACCATGTCCTTCTATGTTTTAAACCACCCTGCAGAGGTCACTGTCTGATTGGAAATGGGATACCTCTAAGGGCCGCTTTCGGTCAAGCTTGGAATGTGACTGGACCGAATTCAGTTCGTGTCAACAAATGTTTTTGAGCACTTACTCTGCACAGGTATATGACTAAGCCCCTGTCCACATTATGGGGCCCCTCAACACTCTTCACATCCACCTTTCAAATCCTCATTGCCAGGAGTCCATGTTGCACGGCATCAGGGGACACCACTCAACACCGTGTTGTATGTGAAGGGTTCCACCTACCGTCGTGTCGTGGTCAGGCTTCACAGATGCATGAGGCCACCTGGCTATTCCTCTGGCTGTTTTCATTTTGTAATTTAATATTGCTCCCACTAGACAGCAAGCTCTCTGAAAACAGGTATGGTGTATCTTTTTTTTTTAATTTATTTATTTATTTTTATGGTGTATCTTTTTCTCTACTGTATTTGCTGCTAGAGTTTCACTGCTGCATTTAATAGTACCTTTGAGTGTTCAAATAATTTTTGTTGAACCAATGACTAGGTAGATGGATGAGTGAATGAGCAAACGAATGAATACAGACTTGATTAGAACATACTGGGGGAACTCCAAACAGATGTCTCCTCCATCTGGGTGGATGGTGACGTTTTAACAAACATCCCTGACAAAATAGGAAAAGATTCTGGGTTAGAGCTCTGCCTCAGTTTGGAATGTAGTTTCCTGTAAATCGCAGAAACTCCAACAAGCAGTCACCTAAAGACGTGCAGGTTTATTTGTCTCATACAACACAAACGTGGACAGGTAGTAAGATCAAGAAGATACAACAATTATACATAATTATGGACCTAACAACAGACCATCAAAATACGTGAAGCAAAAGCAGACAGAATTGAAGGAAGACATAGACAGTTCTACAATAGTAGTTGGAGACTTCATTACCCGACTCTCAATAATGGATAGAACGACCAGACAGAAGATAAGTAAGAAAACAGAGAACTTAACACAATAAATCAACCAGATCTAACAGATACATACAGAACACTCTACCCAAAAAACAATATACTTATTCTTCTCAAGTGCACATGGGACATTTTCCGGGATAGACCATATATGAGGCCACAAACTTACTCTTAATAGGTTTAAAAAGATAGATACACAAAGTTTCTTCTCTGACCACAATAGGATGAAATTAGAAATAAATAACAAATGTTAAACTGGATTCTCTTCATTGTTTTTTAACTGCATTTTATTCATATTGAGACAGGAGAGGAGACACATCTGATGGTTGGCCCAATTCATACTGCAAGGGCATTACTTAATGCTCAAAAAAATTTTTTTTCTTATAAGAGATTACACAGTATTATAAGACAGAATTCAAAAAACTAATTGACACTGACACATAACCAATTTATGTTTATTTATCTTTCAATAAACACTTGAAAAGGGAAAAAAAGTAAAACTGGAAAATTTGCAAACTTGTGGAAGCTAAACAGCACACTCTTACACAGCCAATGGATCAAAGAAGAAATCATAGATGGAATTAGAAAACACTTAAAGATAAATGAAAACATAAACACAACCTACCAAAACTTATGGGGCACAACAAAAGCAGTGCTAAGTGGGAAATTTAAATGCTTACATTAACGGGGGGGGGGGGGGGGGCAAAGATCTCAAATAAAAAACCTAACTTTACAACTTTAGGAACTGGAAAAAGAAGGATAAACCCAAAACTAGCAGAAGGATGGAAATAATAAATATTAGAGCAGAGCTAAACAAAATAGAGAATAGAGGAAAAGAGAGAAAATCAACGAAACCAAAAGTTTGTTCTTTGAAAGATCAACAAAATGAACAAAACTTTCCCTAGATGGACTAAGAAAAACAGAAGACTGAAATTACCAAAATTCGAAAGGAAAGTGGGGACATCTCTACCAATTCCACAGAAACAAAAACGTTTATGAGAGTACTACAAACAACTGTACACCAACAAACTGGATAGCCTAGATAAAATGGGCACATTTCTAGAACTTACCAAGATTGAATCAAGAAGAAATAGAGGGCTTCCCTGGTGGCACAGTGGTTGAGAGCCCGCCTGCCGATGCAGGGGACACGGGTTCGTGCCCCGGTCTGGGAGGATCCCATATGCCGCAGAGCGGCTGGGCCCGTGAGCCATGGCCGCTGAGCCTGCGCGTCCGGAGCCTGTGCTCCGCAACGGGAGAGGCCACAACAGTGAGAGGCCCGCATACCGCAAAAAAAAAGAAGAAATAGAAAGCCTGAACAGACTAATAACAAAATAAGGAGACTAAATCAGTAATCAAAGACCTCCCCACAAAGAAAAGCCCAGAACCAGATGGATTCCCAGGTGAATTCCACCAAACATTTAAAGAAGCGCTAATACCAGTGCTTCTTAAACTCTTCCAAAAAAATAGAAAAAAAAGGAACTCTTCCAGAATCACCATATGAGGCCAGTATCACTCTGATATCAAAGCCAGACACTATAAGAAAAGAAAACTAAAGACCAATTTCCCTTATGAACACTGATGCAAAAATCCTCAACAAAATACTAACAAACAGAATTCAGCAAAATACTGAAAGAATTATACACCATGACCAAGTGAGATTTATTCCTGGAATGCAAGGACGATTCAACATAAAAATTGATCAACATAGTACACTATATTAACACAGTGAAGGGAAAGGCCCATGTGATCATTTCAATTGATGCAGAAAAAGCATTTAGCAAAATTCAACATCCTTTTATGATAAAGACACTCAACAAACTAGGAATAGAAGGAAACTACTTCAATGTTATAAAAGCCATATATAGAAAACCCACAGTGGACAGCATACTCAACTGTGAAAGAATGACGGCTTTTCCTCTAAGATTAAGAAGAAGCTAAGGATGCCCACTTGGCTTCTTCTATACAACATGGTGCTGGAAATCCCAGCCAGAGCAATTATGCAAGAAAAATAAATAGAAGGCATCCAAATTGGGAAGAAAGAAGTAAAATTATCTGTTTGCTGATGATATGATCGTATATGTAGAAAACCCAAAAAGATTCCACAAAAAAAAAAACCCTGTTAGAATGAATAAATGAATTTGGCAAAGTAGCAGGGTACAAAATCAACACACAAAAATCAGTTGCATTTCTGTACATTATCAGTTAACAATCTGAAAGGGAAATTATGAAAACAATTCCATTGACAATAGCATCAAAAAGAACAAAATACTTGGGAATTAGCTTAAGCAAGGAGGTGAAAGACTTGTACAATGAAAACTACAAAACGTTGCTGAAAGAAATTAAAGAAGACGTAAATAAATGAAAACACATCCCATGTTCATGGATTGGAAGCCTTGATGTTGTTAAGATAAAAATACTACCTAAAGTGATCTATAGAGTCAATGCAATTCCTATCGAAATTCCAATGACATTTTTTGCAGAAATAGAAAAACCCATCCAAAAATTCATATGGAATCTCATGGGACCTCCAATAACCAATACAATCTTGAAAACGAAGAACAACATTAAAAGACTCACACTTCCTGGTTTCAAACTCACTGTAAAGCCACAGTAATTAAAAGAGAGTGATCCTGGGGACCTCCCTGGTGGTGCAGTGGGTAAGAATCCGCCTGCCAATGCAGGCAACACGGGTTCGAGCCCTGGTCTGGGAAGATCCCACATGCCGCGGAGCAACTAAGCCCGTGTGCCACAACTACTGAGCCTGTGCTCTAGGGCCCGCGAGCCACAACTACTGAAGCTCGTGTACCTAGAGCCCGTGCTCCACAACAAAAGAAGCCACTGCAATGGGAAGCCCACGCACCGCAGCAAAGAGTAGCCCCCACTCGCTGTAACTAGAGAAAGCCTGTGCACAGCAACGAAGACCCAATGCAGCCAAAAATAAATAAATAAACAAATAGATTTTCAAAAAGAGAGAGTGATCCTGGCATAAAGTCAAACACATAGACCAATGGAATAAAATAGAGTCCAGAAATAAACCCTCACATATATAGTCAAATGATTTTTGACTTGGGAGTCAAGACCATTCAATGGAGAAAGGACAGTCTTTTCAACAAATGGTGTTGGAAAAACTGGATATCTACATGCAAAAGAATTAAGTTGGGGCTTGCCTGGTGGCGCAGTGGTTGAGAGTCCACCTGCTGATGCAGGGGACGCGGGTTCGTGCCCCGGTCTGGGAAGATCCCACATGCTGTTAGGCCCGTGAGCCATGGTCGCTGAGCCTGAGCATCCCGAGTCTGTGCTCCGCAACGGGAGAGGCCACAGCAGTGAGAGGCCCACATACAGCAAAAAAAAAAAAAAAAAAAGAATTAAGTTGGTCCCTTACGTAACAGCATATACAAAATTAACTCAAAATGATCAAAGACCTCAATGTCAGACCTAAAACCATTAAACTCTTAGGAGAAAATATGTGACAAAGTCTTCACAGCCTTGGCTATGGCAATGATTTCTTGAATATGACCCAAAAAGCACAGGCAACAAAAGAAAAAATGGACAAATTGGACTTCATGAAAATTTTAAAGTTTTGTGCTCTAAAGACACTATCAACAGAGTAAAAAGGCAACCCACAGAATGAGAGAAAATATTTGCAAATCATGTATCTGACAAGGATTAACATCCAGGATACACAGACAACTAAAACTCAACAACTACCAAAAAATCAATTTGAAAATGGGCAAAAGGCTTGAATAGACATTTCTTCGAAGAAGATATACAAATGGCCAATAAGCACATGAAAAGTGCTCAACATCATTAATCACTTGGGAAATGCAGATCAAAATTGCAATGAGATACCACCTCACCTCCATTAGGGTAGCTACTATTAAAAAACAAACAGACAAAAAGCAGGAATAAAAACCAAGTGTTGAAAAGGATGTGGAGAAATTGGAAACCCTTGTGCACCGTTGGTGAGAATGTAAAACGGTACATCTATGGCAGATAAGACTGTTGCAGTTCCTCAGAAATTAAAAATAGATTCTCCTATGATTTAGCAATTTCACTTCTGGGTATATACCCAAAAGAATGGAAAGCAGGGTCTCGAAGAGATACTCGTACACCGTGTTCATAACAGCATTTTTCACGAGAGCTAAAACATAGAAGCACCCCTAGTATCTACTGACAGATGAATGGATAAGCATGATGTGATATGTACATAAATGGAATATTATTCAGCCTTCAAAAGAAAGGATTTTTCTTTTAATTTTTTCTTCTCTCTTAAGATACTTTAAGCTTTATTAATATCTCTCATATTAACAGTAAACCTAAGAGTCCAGAGAAACGTGCCGCTAGTTCGGGAGCCATGGGCAAGACTCTCTTCTCTCTGGGTCTTAGTCTCCTTGTCTGTAAGATGAGGGGGACCCAGCCTGCAGTGCCTTTATATGCTTCTGGCTCTGCATCTGTTCTCCCCACTCCCCAGCAATCCCAGACATTTCCATGGGGCTGTGATTTACAAAGCTATTCGAAGGTACCACCCTACATGAGCCACATCTTTTCCTGGAGTCACATGGGGCTGACCTCCTGCCGTCCACACACAGAGCTAAGACAGGAAAGATGCATCGAGAGCCAGTAGGATGGAAGGTTTCCCACAGGTCCATCCAGAGCCCCATTCCTGGTCATCCTCAATGAAGCCAGCCTGGCTGATGGCACAAGAGGGACAGTCCTGGGGAGCCCAGCTGCCTTGTCGGTCACCATCAAGGGGAGCAGGTGGAGGCAGACGTGGGTGGGGGCTGAGCCCCGGGCCTCCTGTGACCCACACAGCCCTCCAGTTGGCAAGGCTGGAGACACAAGCTTATGTCTTCTTAACCACGCTGTACACTGGCTCCTGCGTCTGGGGCTTCTGGGAGGGAATTCTGTCCGTCTTAGAATCCTGGCTTCGGGAATCAAATACCACTGAGGTGTAGTGAAGGTTTTCACTGGGGAGGCCCTGCAGAGGCAGAGACCAGAGGCTCAGGAGAGGCAGGGGAAGCAGGAACCCCCAGCTTAGGGCCTTAGAGAGGTTCCACTGGGGGACGGTGGCTCCACCCTCCCCCACTGTCCTGGCCTCTTTCTCTTGCAAGGGCTGGTCTCCAAGATCCTGTCCACCCACCTACTCCACCCGACCTGGTCAAGACACAGCACAAAGTCCCAGGCCTCAGAGCCGGGGGATTCCCTGGGGTCTACTTTGAGGTCATTAGTCACCAAGTTAGAAAGACAAGGATGTTGTTAGTCTCAGGGCCACGTGTCTGATGCTAAAATCTCCCCCTCATCTTCTCTAACAACTGATCCCTCAGCCTCTGCCTAAACTGTTCCACTAATGGGAGGCTTACGACCCTGGGCCGGGTGGGGTTGGGAGGCAGCCTCTTCCATTATTCTACTTTACAATGGCTGTGGGTTGACCCACAGGGGGTCATTGATAAAAACCTGAAAAGCAGGGTTCATACCAAAGAGATCATAGGACCAAAGCAGTGAGAAATCGCAGTCTTTGACATTGGGTGTATGGTACATGGTCGGTGCCTGACGAATGCTGTACTTTATTGAGTACTGATTATCACCGGCCATTTCAAGAGCTCCTTCATCTCCCACCCCACCCCCCACCCCCAGCTACAAGGACAACAACCTTTGGCAAAATCTACACCTGCCCCGTTTTCTACGTGTCCTTGTCCTAGAGAAACAGTGTTGATCCCCTCACTCCCCTCTCTGCCTGCTGCCACCCCACTAGGTGATGTCTCTGTCATAGCCCGGGGTCCCTGTGACAGGAGCTGGGCCCTTGCACTCACCAAGTTGCTGTATTCCACCTCCTCCTGTGTGGGTCGAACGGGCTGTTCCAGAAGGGGCCACATCTGCAGCTCTAGATTCTCATAGCAGGGTTCACTCTGCTCAGTAGCCTAGGGTGGGCAGGAGGTGTGAGGGTTTGGTGGGTGTCCACAGAGCCCCTCCGTGGTCCAGCCCAGAGTGCCCTCTGTCCTTCCTTCTCTGCAAGCATCTCCCCTTTCCCTCTCTGCTCTGAGCGTCCCAGTCTTCCCACTCGGCCTCCCCCTTCCCACACGCTGGTCCTCTCAGGGGAGAATTTGAATGGTCAGGTCAACAGCTGGGCTGGGAGGACCCTCCCTCACTCCACTTTCCCCTGGGGTGGGAAGAGACTGGCTAGAGTTCATGATGACCCAATGACCAGATCTCCCAGGCGTTGTTCTTCCCGTTCGGGGTGAGCACCTCGCTCCATCCATGTGTGATCCACACAGACCTCCACTGGCTGATGGGACAGTTCAGGCCCCCAACATCCTCTGTGCTCCCCGCAGCTACCCAGACACTCCTTCTGCAGTAGCCTTTCTTACCTGACTGGGTTTCTGGGGAGGCTCTGGATTCTCACCAGCTAAAGAGACAAGAGAAGAGAAAGGAGGTCGAATCCCAGCGCAAGGCAGGGATGGGGATCCCTACGGTCCAACCGGAGGAAGGCCTTTCCCTAGAGACTTCAGCCCTGGGGACCTATTGCTTCAGGGCGGTAGCATGGTAGGAACTCAAGGGTTTGTTGAATGGGTGAATTAGTCAATGAGGACATGAATGAATAAACAAATGAGCAGGAAGGATCCAGCTTGGGGAGAGGGGCCAAACAAAGGTAGTTCTCCAAACAGTCACTCATAAAAATGTTCCCCAGGGACTTCCCCTGCGGTCCCCTGGTTAGGACTCCACGCTTCCAATGCAGGTGGCATGGGTTCGATCCCCGGTTAGGGAACTAAGATCCCGCACGCTGCGTAGCATGGCCAAAAACAAACAAAAAAAAGTTCCCAGGTAGGAGAGACAAGAAAGGAAGGACACTCATTTAAAAGGAAGTGTCTGTATGATGAAAAAGTTCTAGAAGTCTCTTTTGCAACCATGTAAATATACATAACACTGCTGAACTGTAAATGCAGAGATGGTTAAGATGGCAAATTTTATGGCAGGGGCTTCCCTGGTGGCGCAGGGGTTAAGAATCCGCCTGCCAATGCAGGGGACTGGGTTCGAGCCCTGGTCCGGGAAGATCCCACATACCGCGGAGCAACTAAGCCCGAGCGCCACAACTACTGAGCCTGTGTGCCTAGAGTCCGTGAGCCACAACTAATGAAGCCTGCACACGTAGAGCCCGTGCTCCGCAGCAAGAGAAGCCACCGCAGTGAGAAGCTGGCGCACCGCAAAGAAGAGTAGCCCCAGTTCACCGCAACGAGAGAAAGCCCGCACGCAGCAACAAATACCCAACTCAGCCAAAAAAAAAAAAAAAAAATTTATGGTACGTATTTTTTTACCGCAATTAAAAAAAATGCAGATCTGCAGGCCCCACTGCTGATGTACTAAATTATCAACGGTGAGGATGAAGTCCAGCTATCTGTGTTTTAACAAAGCCCTAAATTTGTTTAAATAAAATAATAAAATAAAAGGCAGCGTCCTTGGGCTTCCCTGGTGGCGCAGAGATTGAGAGTCCGCCTGCCGATGTAGGGGATGCGGGTTCATGCCCCGGTCCTGGAAGATCCCACATGCCGCGGAGCGGCTGGGCCCGTGAGCCATGGCTGCTGAGCCTGCGCGTCCGGAGCCTGTGCTCCACAACGGAAAAAGGCAGTGTTCTTGTGGAGACCTAGAGCCACATCAAACTATACAAAGTCACAAGGGTCATCTGCTCTGACCCCTGGCCTGGGCGTCCACCCCTCCCAGACACGAGGCCCTGTCAGCTCTGAGGGATCGCAGCTCAGGTCACACAACCTTTTGTTTCTGGCTCCTGCAGCGTGGCTCTGCAGGTGTCCTGCCTCCGAGCAAAACTCTGTGCACCCCTGGCCCTTTCAACCTGGAGCCCCAGGAGCCGATGGGGACAGGTGATGCACACACAGCCAGAATGTCCTATAGGTCTAGGTGCACCGCCAGGCAACTCCAGAGCCCAGTCCACTAAACGCTGCGGGGAGACACTGTCCAGCCTCAGGGAGGGAGCCCCAAAGTCAAAGGTGAGATACCCACCTTCAGGAGACACAAGGGCACGTATGACAGAAGTGTTCGCTAAGCCCCATCAGTTGATTCAGCAGAACATGCAACCAGGGGCTCTGAGATATGAACACATTTTGTTCCGAATGCTGCAGGCGGGTGCCCTACTACCCTCCGTCCCTTCAGCTAAGATGGGTGATTTGATGATAAGGAGGAAGGGGGCTGGTGAGGAAGGGATGGGAGTCCATTCCTGGGGAGGGAAGTTGGCATTGAAAGAGTTGGGTGGCAGCCAGCTGGACGGGAAGCACCCTGAAGGTGGAGCCAGTCTACCCTGGTCATGACAGTGTCCCCAAGAGCCCGGTACAGGCCCTTGTGCACAATAGGTGCTCAGGACAGCTTTGCTGTGTGAGTGAATGAATGAATGAACAAGAGTGGGCTGAGGGGAAAAACCATGAGTGGGTGGTAGGGCAGGCATCAGGCTGAGGCGGGAGGGGCAAGGACACTGGGTAAACAACCCCAGATGCAGCCAGGAGACAGGAGCTGAGACGCAAAGCAGGGGAGGGACAGTCAGGCTACATGAAGAGAAAACCTTTCTCCTGTTAAACAAAGATCACGTAACAAGGTGTGATCCACCCGCACAAGTCAACTCTGAGTCAGGGATTTTCGGAAGAACATTGTTAGCAGGGAAAATCATACAATACGTTAAGGTTTAAAAGTGGAATTACAGTATGATGCAAACATTTTAAGAAGTCAGATGTGCAAAAGGGACTGCAAGGATGTGACTCAAATGCCCGTGATTGGTTTTCTCTAGGTGGTGCGAGCTTCCGTTTTTATTTACTAGGGTGAATTTATTTCCTGCTTTGTGCTTTACTTACTTTTCCAATTTTCTACAGTGATCACGCATCCCTTTTTTAAGCGGGGGGGCGGGGCGGTGCTTTTTAGGTGAAAGGGCACCGTGGAGATGGCTGGGACCCACAGATCTGAGGCAATCCAGGCTGGGAAAATCCCCATGTGGTAAGCAGTATGGGTTGAAGTTTAGGGGGAGGGTTCCCAAAAATGATATGCGAGCAGCAGATGGGGAAGAGGAAGTGGTTTTCTTTCCATCCACCAAGGATACATATGCTGAGGCTGATTTCTCTCCTAAAGGCCTGAGCTATGCTGGGGGGAGAGGCTGAACCCCACGGGGATGCTGGAGGTGAGAGAGTAATGCAGGGTCCCCTCTACCCGGCCCCCAGAAAGTACCAACTCCCAGTTAGCACTGCAGCTATGGAGCAGAGCAAGCTTGAAAGGCTCAGCATTGGTAACTACGCACGAACATCCCCCCAGAACCCTGTGCGCATGGAATCAAGAACCGTCAGCACAGTAAGAAAACTTAAGGCTCACGTTCCATCTCGGGCAGAAACCGACTGTCCTCCAGGTGACAGCTGGGCCTCCAGCCAGCAACAGGACCACAGCTTCACTGGTTCCTCTGTTCTTCTGTTTATTTAAATTTGCTCAACTGTTTATTGAGCACCTACTTACTGAGCACTGGACAGGATGCTGGGTGCACCCTACGTTCTCTCTTTTAATCTGAGCTCAGAGAAGAGTGACTGGACCACAAGATGCCTGGAGCTTCCTGGGGTGCCCAACGTGACGATATTAAATAATACATTCATTCAACAAATACTGTACTTTCTCGAGTCAGGGTCCCTGATCTTAAGGAGTCGCACGGGCTGGTGGACAGGCAGGCATGGAAGCAGGTGTGACAACCTGGTGTGAAAAGGGCTATCGTGGTGGAAGAACCGAGGTCCACCCGGAAAGGGCCCCTAAGCTGCTCTTGGGGGGCCAAGAAAAGTCCCAGAGGAAAGGAAATCTGAGAGCAGTGCTTAGGGCCCAGCAGGAGTGAGCCACAGAGAGGCAGGGGGGCACCCCAGGCGCCCAGAGCAAACGCAGAAGAAGTTGGGAAACAGCTGCCTTCCAGCTGTTCCAGAGTGTAAGGATGGGCAGGTTGCAGAGGGCCTTCAGTGTCCTGTGGGGACCTGGACTTTGGAGAGTGTGGGAGGTCACAGAAGGGTTTAGACAGAAGAGGGACACTGCTTCACAAGCACCCACCCCAGGCCCCGCTGTGGGAAACGCCTCTTTTCGGGGAGCCATCTCCCACAGCCTGGATCTGCCATGCCAGCACACCGCCTCTGGGGTCTGCCCTCTAGGGTCACCCAGGATATGTGGTGTCAGGGGATGCATCTGAAGACCATTCTGGGAACCAGGACACAGAGCCTCAGAGACCAGAGGCTGTGGGCGGGGCCTGCCTACCCCGGGGCGGCAGGTGTAAGGAACTCACATTTGATCCGTCTCTGAACCATTCTCCAGGCCAGCAGTGAGATGCCCCCCAACAGAAGCAGCAGAAGTGCTAACAAGGCCAGCAGCACTTGGAGCCTGAGGGGAGAGAGGGTGAGGTGGGGCATCACGCCTTCCCTCTCTTGTTCAATAGATAGATAAGGTCCCATTGAAAAAATGTAGATGGTATAAGGTCTCCTTTCTACACATCCCCCATCTACCTAAATCCCCCCCCCACACACACGGTATACCTAAGAACCTTCCAGAGGCTCTTTATTCAGATACAAGAAAATACGAATGTACATTATTTTTACATATGTCCTTTTTTCACACAAAAGAGGCAGGGTATAAACACCAGTTTTTGTTTTTTTTTTGCGGTGCGTGGGCCTTTCACTGTTGTGGCCTCTCCCGTTGCGGAGCACAGGCTCCGGACGCGCAGGCCCAGCGGCCATGGCTCACGGGCCCAGCCGCTCCGCGGCATGTGGGATCTTCCCGGACCGGGGCACGAACCCGTGTCCCCTGCATCGGCAGGCGGACTCTCAACCACTGCGCCACCAGGGAAGCCCTAAACACTAGTTTTTTTACTTAACAATGCATCTTGGAGAGCTTTCCATGTCTGTACATGAAGAAGTCCTTCAGGGTGTTTTTTTTTTTTTTACAGCTGCATAGTATTCCATTGCATGGACGGACCATAAATTATTTAACTCTTCCCTCTCTATGGGCATTTCTCCCAGTCTATTGCAATTACAAACATGGCTGCAAAAACTCACCTTGTAACTATACCATTTCACACTTGGCCAAGCAGCAGCTGAGTTCCTGGGACGCTGACATAACTTGGGGTTTCTGGTCCCTCACTTGCTCAGGCCCCTTCTTTAATGCCTCGTTTGCATCCATAATGTTCTAGTCTTTTTCTTAAAGATGCACTTCCCCGCCCCCTGTAAATTGCATAGGCTTCAGCCATACAAAACCCAGCTCTGTCCCCCAGGTGTGCATCTGCAGAGCCAGGTGGCATATTTGGGGGCTGAATTTCACCTTGCCTGTTATTAGGATTGTCACTTGGGTTGTCAGGAAACCAGTGGAGGGGCCTTGGGGGTGTCATGTAATAAAGAACCTGACTGGCCTTTGCCCCTGGCTCCTGGAAGGAAGACTCTAAATCCTTGGGATTTTCCTAGTAATAGGAGTACGTTTGTTATTCACGAGCCCCTTAGATCTGCCTGAGTTCTTGCTGAGAGGTGGCATGACCCAGGATGGAAGCTGGTCACCACGTAATCAGAGATTTGGGGCTCTGAGCCAGCCTGACCTTCAGGGAGGTGAAGGGGGGCTGGGGATTGAGGTCAGTCATGTGGAAAATGATTCAATCAGTCAGGCCTGTGTCATGAAACCCAAATAAAAACGATGAACACTAAGGCTTGGAGGAACTTCCTGGCTGGTGAACACATCAATGTCCTGGGAGGGTGATGCCCCCTGACTCCACTGGGAAAGGGCACGGAAACTCTGCATTCAGGATCCTCCCAGACCTCGCCCTGGGTGTCCCTCCATTGGCTGGTCCTGACATTTATCCTTTATGATAAAACCGTAAGTACAGCACTTCCCATGGGAACCCCCAAATTTGTATCCAATTGATCAGAAATGTGATGACCTGGGGAATCCCCAAAGTGCTCTGGCATTTCTGAAGTCAGGCCGTCTTATGGCAGTGAGCCCTAGGAGTCTCATGGGACGCTGGGGTCTGTGCTAATTCCAGGTGGTCAGTGCCGGAATCACCTTGCAGGGCACCAGGTGGTGTCAGAATAGAGAGTCTGTGAACCCCAGAAATGGTTTCTGACAGTATGTATTTTCTGGGGAGAGAATCTATAAATGTTGTCAGATTCTCCTGGGGTTTTTGGCCTCCCCCCCCGCCAAAAAAAGGATCGAGAATCACGAATTTAGAAGAAAGAAACTAAGACTTTGGAATCTCACAAACTTGGCTTGGGAGCCTAGCCTGCCTCTGTGGCTGCGTGACCCAGCCAATCACTTAACCTCTCAGAGCCTTGGTTTACTGGTCTGTAAAATGAGGGTAATAATGGTAAAGGTTGTGAGTAACAAGTGCGAACATTCACGTGAGGCATTTAGTACGAGCCTGGTAGGATATCATCAGCTCTCATTAAATTTACTTTCCGGGCTTCCCTGGTGGCGCAGTGGTTGAGAGTCTGCCTGCCGATGCAGGGGACACGGGTTCATGCCCCGGTCCGGGAAGATCCCACATGCCACGGAACAGCTGGGCCCGTAAGCCATGGCCACTGAGCCTGCGCATCCGGAGCCTGTGCTCCGCAACGGGAGAGGCCACAACAATGAGAGGCCCCGGAACCCAAAAAAAAAAAAAAAAAAAAAATTTACTTTCCCTCCAGCCACCCCCCAGCTTCTGCCCGGCCTGAGCCCTCTCTCAGAGCCCAAGGCAGGTTCACCCTGACCCCTACAACCCAAGCTAGGAGATGCAGACCGGCTTCCAGCCTGGATGCAAAGAGACCCAGAGGTCCCCAGCCAAAGGGATGGGGCTCCCGGCCCCAAATGGACAAGAGGAAGCCCACCTCCAAGACATGGGGACTCAGGTGCCTTACCCCCACCCCTGCATGGCTTCCTCCTCGTTGCTGGCGCTGTAGGTGGGATGCGCCATGGCCAGGGCGGTGAATGACATTGTTGAAATACTGATTGTGATTGTCGAGGTCTCGGCCACAGCAGTAGGGTGGGTTGGCACTGGTGCTGGTGCAGAAACACAAATCAGACCCAGGGAATGCTCTCTGACTCTCCCACCACTCGCCAATACCTTCTTTGTTTGATTTCACACGAAATGCTCACTCAGGAAGAGGGCAGGATGGAGGACCCTGCAGCCAAAGTCTCCCCAGGACCCTCCCGGGGCTGAGTGAGCATTTCCTACCAGGACGCAGGTCCCCAACAGCCCCGGTTCCATCCCGCTGATGAGGTCAGGGTCCTCTGGAGGGCCCACAGTCACTCCCACTCCCAGGCTCGTTCTCCCCCCACCCCAAGTCACAGCCACACGCTGCCTGCCAGAGACGGCTGTCTGGACTGCAGATCTTGTTAGCACCCCCACTGCACTGGGCACCCGGCCACCACCCCCTCTCCACTCAGCTCCCACCCCCAGCACGCCCTCCTCTCTCCTTTGCACGCTCACTCTCTCAGCCTCCCCTTTCCCTGACAGGCACCTTCCCATCGCTCAAGACTGAGGAGAGGTGCCAGCGCCCTGACTCTCTCCCTCTCTCTCTCTCTCTCTCTCTCTCTCTCTCTCACACACACACACACACACACACACACACACAAACACACACACACACACACACAGTTTGGTCTCTGATCAGATTTCTACCTTGGCTAATCCAACCTGACACTCTTCAGGTAACTTTAGGTAACTCTTCAGGTAACCCTGTTGCTGGTACAGGGGGAAGGGGTGTGCACGGCTCACCTGGGGACACAGACACCACAACCTGGACGGTGGGGTCAAGTGAAAATGGTACCGTGATCCCACACTCGTACGTTCCTGCTTGGTCCTCCCTGAGGCTCTCCAAGGTCACTGTGAAGGTGAGGTTTGCAGGATGGTCCCTGATGGACACGTGGCCCCGCATTACTTCTCTCTCTGGCTCTTTGGTCTCCACAGTCTTCCACGGTAACAAACATGGGGCTTTGCACCAGTATTTGCTGTTGTCTTTGTATTTCTCCGCGTACCGACACTCCACGCTCAGGGATCCCCCCACAACGCCTGTCACTCTGCTGGGGCCCCTCAGGGACAAACAGCCTGGAAAACACAACCGAGTCTGGCTGTTCACTAGGTGGGCTTGGGTCAGGGGCACGCTGGGGTCACCCCCCAGTGTTCCCCCATCTCATGCCAACCACCTCCCATCAGCCAGAGAGTCCTTCCCCGTCCACGCTGTCACCCCTAAGATTTGATCACAGCAGCTCCTTTCCTCTGCCCTTCCCACCCCTCACCAACCAGACACCTCCCACTTCCGAACTTATCTGGACAATAAGAGCTCGCCTCCAAGCACCCGGCTTTTCCTGAGGGACAGCATCTCGCCCTGAGGCCTGAGCAGCTCAGTAACCTGAAGAAGCCCTCACAGCAATCTGTTCCCACCGAGGGAATATGCACCAAGGCCAAGAAAGGGCTGCCAAATAGTGCACAAAAGAAGACTGGATACACTTGGTAAACTTTGTGGATTAAAAAAAACACCGGGCTTCCCTGGTGGCGCAGTGGTTGAGAGTCCGCCTGACGATGCGGGGGACGCGGGTTCGTGCCCCGGTCCGGGAAGATCCCACATGCCGCGAGGCGGCTGCGCCCGTGAGCCATGGCCGCTGAGCCTGCGCGTCCGGAGCCTGTGCTCCGCAGCGGTAGAGGCCACAACGGTGAGAGGCCCGCGTACCGCAAAAAAAAAAAACAATCCTTCACACACACAGAAAGTTTACTGATGAAAGCCATCATTTCATCCTGGGTCTTACTTCCGTTTGCGCAGCTCCTGTAGACTTAATTTTCAAGGGAAGCTAGTGTTTGTTTGTTCTTTTTTTTGGAACCTCATGTTTTGTTTCTAAGATTTTATGTCTGCCATTTTCCCAGGGAGTCCTCAGCTAAGGGGAGTTGGGGGACGAAGACGATGCATGTGACGTTAATGCTAGCCACCAAGCCGAGGACACGCCCCCCTCCCTGATGCTTTTGGGTACCACTCCTCACACCCCTGTAATTCTGTGATCAGGCCCCCAGAGTGGTGGGGGAGGGGTGGCTTGCTCTCTTTCGCTAGAGTTAGAACTCTTTAATTTCACTTGCTTTTTCAGGTTCTTAAATCACATGAAGACGCTGGAATGTAAACTCCAGGGACCTCCTTCTTATATCTTCAATGTCTACAAGTGCCCGACACATAGTAGGCCCTCAACAAACACTTGGGTGTGAGCACATCTCCCACCCCATGCAGCTCTCAGTCCACAGGTGTCCAAAGCTGACTGCAAACTCCCATCCTCCTACTCCCGGGTGCCCATCAGGACGTCCTCTCCTGGCCTGGGTGGCAGATGCCCTTCAGAGAAACCTTTCCTAGCCCCGTCACAGGTGTGACGTTTCCTGAGATGCTCTGCAGCCATGGCCATGGTGAAGTGGAAAGGGCAGCAGAAGAATCTGGGTTTTGTCGGTACTATGACATATCTGCTGTGTGTTCTGGTGGCAAGTAACTTAACCTCTCTGAGCTTCAGATGCCTAATCTGCTATGTGGTGATGATCGGTAAGCCTCACATGACATTTGGGGGTGTTGAATGAGATAATGGGTGTAAAATGCCTGGCAAATAATATTAGGTTGAACCATACGAAATTGCTGACATGCTACTATTTTTGATGAAGAAAAAAGGAATTTCAGAAAATTCAATCTAATAAAAATAGATAATTCTCTGTCCAGCTGAATGAAGACACGAAAAGATAAAATAATCACAGAGACAGAGAAAATTAAAAGAATCAGAGACGGTCCTTTGCAGAAATTCTCTACAGATAAATGTGTAAATCTGGATGAATGTGTGATTTTCTAGAGAAACAAAAATCAGTAAAATTGACACATACCAAGTGCTTAATAGATAAATGTCTATCCCAGACCTTCCTTCACGTAAGATGCTGCCCCTGGCCCCCACATCCAGACTCGATTCCCTGCCTCTCCTTCACTGTGAATTGTCACCTTTCTCTGCCTGGCTCTCAGCTCCCCTCCCTGGTCTGGGTCACCCCATCAACCCCACCCACAGTACCCAACCATCTGTCTCCATGGTCTACCTTCCCTTTGCTCTACCTCTCCGTCTCTCTTTGTTTCTCTCCCTGTGTCTCTGTCTCTCTGTTTGTCCTTCTCTCTCTCCATCTGTCTCCCTCACTGTCTCTTTTTTTCTGTCTCTGTCTGTTTCTCTGTCTCTCTGTGGGTCTCTGTCCCTGTCTCTCATTATCTCTCTCTCCCTGTCTGTCTGTCCCTCTCTGTCTCTACCTTCCCTTTGCTCTACCTCTCCGTCTCTCTTTGTTTCTCTCCCTGTGTCTCTGTCTCTCTGTTTGTCCTTCTCTCTCTCCATCTGTCTCCCTCACTGTCTCTTTTTTTCTGTCTCTGTCTGTTTCTCTGTCTCTCTGTGGGTCTCTGTCCCTGTCTCTCATTATCTCTCTCTCCCTGTCTGTCTGTCCCTCTCTGTCTATCTGTCTGTCTCTATCTCTTCTAACAGGATGCTCCTTTTTGTCCTAATGTTTTACTTTAGAAGCACAAAGTCTCATCCCATTAAATCCCAGATAAACGAGTGAATCATCCAGCGCAAGAAGTCAAGAGAGGAACGCATGCATATGCACCCAACCCAGGAGAAAAGAGTAAAGCCAGAGCAGAAGTTAGTAAATTAGGAAAAGAAAAACCATGGAACTAGTACATACACTGAAAAGCTGATTTTTCTTTTGGGAGAAACAAACAACAAAATAGACATTCTTGTGAGTAGCTAGATCAAGAAAAAAAGGAGAAGACACGCATACACAATTAAAAAGAAAATAGCCCGGGGTAATTTGCAAGTCTCTACAAAAACACTTGTAAACTTGGGCAAAACTGGTGATTTTCTAGGAAAGTATAAATCACCAGTATTAGCCCAGAAAAGATTTTTTTTAATGTAGACCAATACTGGTAAGTGTTATCAAGGGGTCCTTTCCCAATGATAACTATGTGAGGTGATGTAATTATTTCACAGTGTATACGGGTATCAAAACATCACCGTGATTATACACCATAAATATACACAAGCTTTATTTGTTAATTATACCTCAGTAAAGCTGGGGGGAAAGAAAAAAAAAAGAAGTTCCTTTTTCTTTCCTTTCCAAAACAAGAGGAGCGAAACCCAGACAGTTCCACAAGTTAGTTCTCTCAAAACCTTCAAGGACCAAACAATCCCAATTTTATTTAAACATTTGCAGAGGATAAAGAAACAGGGAAACCTCCCTAATTCTTATCATGAAGTCCGTATAATACATCAAGACTAAAATCCAGCCAAATATCTTAATATAATTCGCCGCTTGAATAGTTCAAAGGAGAAAAAATCACAGGCATACTTAGACAATATTGCAGGTTTGGTTCCAGACCACCGTAGTAAAGCGAATATCACAATAAAGCAAGTCACGTGAAGTTTTTGGTTTACAAAAGTTATGTTTACACTATACTATGGTCTAGTAAGTGTGCAATAATATTATGTCTTAAAAAAAAACAATGTACAGGGCTTCCCTGGTGGCACAGTGGTTGAGAGTCCGTCTCCCGATGCAGGGGACGCGGGTTCATGTCCCGGTCTGGGAAGATCCCACATGCCACAGAGCGGCTGGGCCCGTGAGCCATGGCCGCTGAGCCTGCACGTCCGGAGCCTGTGCTCCGCAACGGGAGAGGCCACAACAGTGAGAGGCCCGCGTACCGCAAAAAAAAACAATGTACATACCTTAATTAAGAAATACTTCGCTAAAAAATGCTACCCATTATCTGAGCCTTCAGTGACTTGTCATCTTTTTTGCTGGTGGAGGGTTTGAAATATTGCAAGAATTACCAAAATGTGACAGAGACACGTAGTGGGCAAAAGCTGTTGGAAAAATGGAGCCAATAGACTTGCTTGATGCAGGTTTTGCCACAAACATTCAATTTGTAAAATTAATACAAATAAACACACCAGAACAAACCAAAAGACCCCCCGCAGTATCAATGGAGCGCGATAAGGCGTGGCCTGTCATCATCTCTATAGATAACGAAAAGGCGAACGACACCTGATGCTGCTGTTTTTAAGAACACAGGGGATGCCTTCTTTACACTTAACAGAAACTCTGGACACCGGCCCAGTCAGGGACAAGGCAGGCATGACTGCTGTCGCCTCTCTCCTGGGCATCATTCTGGCCAAACCAGCCCGTGATCAATGAGAGAGGAAACCAGAGAAACAGCGAACCCTCCATGCAGGCAGATCCCGTGAACACCCTAGAGGGTCAGTAGAAGAATGAGTGGTGGGACTTCCCTGGTGGGGAAGTTAAGACTCCCCACTCCCAATGCAGAGGGCCCAGGTTTGATCCCTGATCAGGGAACTAGATCCCACATGTATGTTGCAACTAAGAGTTTGCGTGTCGCAACTAAGAGTTTGCGTGCCGCAACTAAGGAGCCGGTGACCGCAACTAAGGAGTCCACCGGCCGCAACTAAGACACAGCACAACCAAATAAATAAATATTTTTAAAAAATGAGTGGTGAGAGGATGACCAGTTTCAAAATTAATACACAAAAACTCACAGCTTTCCTATCGACAACTAGTTGGCAAATAGAATTGAAGAAAACATCAATTTATAAGCAAAATGACCCCCAAATTAAAAATGCCGGGAATAAACCTAGCAAGACTGCAGGAGCAATCTGAGGAGAGCCCTGAAAGCTCCTGGAGGCTTAGGAGAGAAATAAGTGCAAGGACACCCTCTTCTGCCCGGAGCAAGCCTCCCCCTTCTGTCCCACAGCTGCTCTGCCCCACTCTCCCCATGGGATGGAAGTCCCATCTCCCTTCCTTGGAGACCACTGGCCCCCTAGTCCTCAGGCCTCTGCCCCTCGAGCCGCCCTGGACAGTCATTCACCTCCATGACCCTGAGACAAAGGCCTGCCCCTGCCCGGTCCCCAAACTTCCTCCACCCCCTGGGACCCGTGAACCACAGGGCGCCTCCTGACAATAAACACGTCCCTGGGTGCGCTTGGTGGTCACTCTGCCACTCACTCTGGTGTGTAATAATTCACCCCCAAACCTTCTGCAAAGCCCCTCCTCTGGGCCCACATCTTTGTCCCACTGTGGCTCATCTAAGGCCAGATGGATGCAGAAGGGGAGACAGACCCTCAGCCCTACCCCTCCGAGGATGTGTGTCTTATGCGGTGGACAGAGGGCATCCCATCCTGAGTCTCCTGACATCTCCCCTGCAGCTCTTGCGTTCGCACCCTCCCTCCGCCCCTGCCCCCCCCCCCCCCACCGCAGCCCCTCACCTGGGACCCAGAGAAGCAGCAGAGCCAGGGGCAGCCATGTGGCCTGGTACCACCAGGCCATCTCTCCAGCACAGATGTCGCGTGCAACAGCGCCAGGCCACAGCTGGCCCCAAGGCTTCAGTCCCCCCTCGAGGAGGAGTGTCAGGCCTCCAGGCTCCCACTTCTGCTTTTCTTCGTGTTTCGCTGCTTCCTCGTTCAGCTTCTTTTCAGTTCTGTTTCTGGAGCTGCTGAAAAGATGGAGGTCTTCGCTGAGGGAGAAAGGCGACCACCGGGGCCTGAGACGCCCCGGCCGTGTTACAGGTTCTGTACGTATTTCCAGTAAAGAGACCCTTCCCAGTCCCACAGCTCACCTCCTCTTCCCCCCCCCCCCCCCCAAACCACAGTGTCAAGGTCCCTCCTAATCCAGCCAGTAACTCCCTCAGTTTCCCCGTAGTCGCGGTGGTCAGGGTGAGCGCCCTGGGGGAGGAGCAAGGGCCCTGGACAGCACCCACAGAGAGACTGCCCTGGGGACCAGCACTTCCAGGAACACCCCCGGCTCAAGGCCTGGACCTCCAAGTTGGCACGATGACCCCAGAGTCCCTGAATGATTGCTCGTCTTGGACACATGTCCTCCACTTGGCCTGAAGGTCCTCGGGCTGTGACCTTCCTTCCCATGCAGTTCCCACTGGACCCAGCTCAGGGCTGAGTACAGAGCAGGTCTCAGCAAGCCTGCAGGGACCCCTCCTTTGGGGATCTCAGACTCTAAATATACACACACATATTCCTCGTGACAAGTGCCCCCAGCTCGCACAGAATGGCCACAGGAGCATAGGAAACTAGTCCTAACGTGTGAGGAGGGCTAATGTGTCACCTGAGGGCTTGCAGACAGCAACTCCGAATGCCGCCATCCGGAGTCCCTAGAATGCCCTTCCCTTCCTGCTCTGGCTCTAAAGTTTCCAGAAATGTATACCCTTCAGTTCAACCACCAAAAGTCATTGCCAAGGTCAAGGGGCAGATGCACCGGACTGAGAAGAAGCAGGAAGCTAGGCTGTGGCTTGTCCACGTACCGCTGGCGTGACCTTGACCAAAACCTGTGACTCCTGTAAAATGTTAATAATAATAGCTAGGGGCTTCCCTGGTGGCGCATGCCGATGCAGGGACACGGGTTCGAGCCCTGGTCCGGGAAGATCCCACATGCCGCGGAGCAGCTAAGCCCGTTCGCCACAACTACTGAGCCTGCGCTCTAGAGCCTGTGAGCCACAACTACTGAGCCCGTGCGCCACAACTACTGAAGCCCATGCGCCTAGAGCCCATGCTCCGCAACAAGAGAAGCCACCGCAATGAGAAGCCTGTGCACTGCAACAAAGAGTAGCCCCCGCTCGCTGCAGCTAGAGAAAGCCTGCGCGCAGCAATGAAGACCCAGTGCAGCCAAAAATAAATAAATGAAATAAATAAATTTATTTTTAAAAATAATAATAATAGCTAATTTGACGGAGTAAATAGTATCATAATTATAAAAATACCTGAATATGGGGTAATGGTATCCTCAAACCAGTTTTTTTCCCGACGGAATAAGTCTGTCCTCCAATGAAAGGCGATAGGAAAATAGGATTTGTTAGGGAGACATATGCTTTACAAATAGTCTATGGGATGCACTTGTCTTTAGAAAGAAAAGATAGAGAAACACTTGAACTACGGCAAAGAGGAAAGGGCCAGAGGAATTGATCCCCGCCACAGCCTCCTGGTCGCCCTAACCTGTCCACGAGCCCTCAGCAAGAAATAGAATGATGCAAATTTACCGCATGACATCAGAAAATTAAGGAAGTGGCACTTGCCTCACTGCTCCCTGGTGACCATTAGTGCACACGAGGTGGGGGAAGATGAAACCTGCCAGCTGCAGGCCTGAACCCTCTTTCTCGGGGTGGGGGGAGGGAGGCCCTGCAACCATAGAGCCTCTCACCAAGTTTGGGGTCCTGTTCCCTGTGTGGATGCACATGCTCAGAGACCAGTGGGCAAGGGTGACGTGGTGATGGATGGGGGCTCCCTGGGCAGACTGGCGGCAGCAGCATTGAGCCCCGAGAACAGTAAGGAGGGGCCAGAAAAGATTGAAGGGTGGGGCTGCTCGGCGGAATTTCCCTCGGCGCAGCAGCACAATCTAAGAGCCGCCACCCCAGGAAGGTCAGCAGCTCCCCGTCAGCTCTGCCTCTTCTTCCTCCTGAGCTTGAAGGAAAGCCAGGGGGCCTTCAGGGAGGGAGTGTCTCACCCACAGTGTCTTACCCACTGCAGTGGGTCGACTGTGGCCAAGAGGCTGGGCTGAGAAGCAGGATGAAGCGGGTGCCTGTGGCTGGTGGTGAGAAGGGGAGCCTGACACCTGGGTTAGTTGGCGATGGCGGAAGGGGGCCGCCGTGTCCGCTGAGCACCTGCTACTCTCCAAGTGCTTGCGTGGTGGTGGAACACACCCGCTCGGAGTTTCATCACTGCAAGATCCGTAGGGCAAAGTTATGGACTCCAAATGAGAAGCAGTCAGGGGCAGGGCAGCGGGGAGGGACGGATGGAGGATTGGGGGCATCTAGTTTCCCTTCCGCCACAGCCTGGGTGAGACCGGCGTCCCGGCCTAACCCTGAAGCTCCCGCCTGGCCTGGCCTGCCTCTCTGGGGGGCTCCCCGGGACCGCCCACGCCTCACCCTCCTGCCCTTCTCTAGGGAAGCTGCCCCAGCGTGGCCTGACCCTCTGTGGGCCCAGGTGGCTTGAGCAGCCCATGTTCCGGGGCAGCCCACAGTCCCAGGGCTACCGTCCACAGCCAGCGTGACGGCCGTACCATGCTGTTCTGCTTGGGTCTGGACGTGCAGTGGTTGAGACAGGGAGGAAGAGGAAGCTGTGGGTGAGCAGAGGGCTGGCAGTGCCAGCCAGGGGCCTGAGAGCCCTCACTGATCCCCCCTTGGAGGGATCCTCCAGGTTTCCTGTCCACAGAGCCCCTGCTCTACGCAGACCCTGTCCTTCCTTGCAGGTACCTGGACCTGGAGAGAATGTCTCCACCTTCAAGGAGGAGCTGGGATCGAGAGCCAGTGCACCGGGGGCCTGCGGAGCTCACCGGGCACCGTGGTCAGGGGGTGGGGTGGCGTCCCTCTGGGGCTGCCCCTGGCTCCGCTGCAGAAGAGATGGTCATGAAGTCCTCAGGGTCATCACAGGGATGGGTCACCTACAGCGGCAGGGGTGTGGACGGCTCCCCAAGGCCATTCCTTCATCCTCAGCCTCCGCCATGCCTGCCACTCCCTCCTCCACCTCCGTGCCCAGCCGCCTTCTCAGAAGACCCCCTCCTCCACCTCCGTGCCCAG